TACATGTAATAGACGACGGTTCTTTTAAAAACCGTCGTTTTTACATATAATAGACGACGGTGAATTACCGTCGTAGTTTGAATTTCAAAAAGACGACTGTCGATTTAACGATGGTTTGAAAAAGAAAAAGACGACGGCGTTTCCCCGTCGTCTATTTCAATTTTTGTAGTAGTGCAAACTCAAATTTTGAAAATAGAATGAAAAGAATATCACTACGGGCCTGTTTGATAATCATTTCAATTTTTATTTTTAGTTTTTATTTTTTATGCTAGATTATAGAGGAAAATAAGAGTGAGGATAATATTGAGAGAGGATGAGAGGGAGGAGTAACAAAAACGGAAACAATTTGAAATTGATTTCAGTTTTTAGTTTTTGTTTTCACTTTTGTTACTCATCCTTCCCATCCTCTCCTCTCATTTTCCCTCTCAATTCCATCTCCGCTTTCATTCTCACTTCCATTCTCCCTCTTTTTCCTCTATATTTTAGCACAAAAAATAAAAAATAAAAACTAAAATTAAAATAATTATCAAACGGCCCTACATAATTTATTTTGCATATATATATTCTTGTTTAATTTGCCGTTGGAAAATCGTGTTTACAAGTACTTCGGTCATTTGCATCTGTTTCACTAAAGTATGCATACCAAACAATGAAGGGACACAACCTCACACACACACACACACGTGCATGCTCTGTTACACAAATTTAAGAAAGTTGTAGATTTGACTAAAATTATCAATTTTTTTTTTCCTTTCTATAACCGTATTTCTGGAAACTTGAATAAACCAAAAATGGAAACGTGGGTGAGGACTTTCTATTATGAGCGGGAGACACGTTGTCCAGTCAAAACATAACATGATCACATTAGCATTTAGCAGTTCATCATGCCACTCATATTGGCAGGGAAGTCTCAACGAAACCGTTTCTTAATATTTCCAAACACTAGCACATAGAAATGTTTTCATTCTCACTCTCATTCTCACGGAATGTGTGGAATGCGTGTGAAAGGTATAATCAAGACCATTTATGATGTTTTTTTTCTTGGTCGAAAGCAATTTGTGATGTTAAGCGTGAAGGGAAAGGTCCAAAGGTTTTTCATGAGACCTACAAAGAAAAAAGAAGAGAAAAAAAGACACCATATGAGGAATGAATAAAGAGGATTGTTAAACCTTTGACTTTGTCATAAAGGTGCTATAATAATTCCATGCCGAGGAGAATAGCAGCCCCACCATGAACACATTCGATTCTGTTCCACCAATCGTCACTAACCACATAACACAACTTTGTTACCATTTTTCAAACATTACCGTACAACAGTTGCTCATACCAGTCGAAGACCACCAGTTCAAGAACTATTTTACCCAACTCTCTTGACTTTTGCAAATCCAATCTGTCACCGTAGGTTTCATCCATTTTTGTGCAGATTGCAGATTGAATGGTCAGGATTGGCTGGTCAAAGTAGGAACACCCCAATAGTTGTGCTTTCGAAGTACACAATGTGACATTCTCCTGTCAACAAAACAAAGTTAGTCAGACAATTTGGTATAAACATGCAGACTGATGAACACAAATGAAAGCAAAAGAAAAGGTAGAGTGTTTGTTGTTGATGCAGCTGCCTCTGGGTGTCATCCAGTTTAGAGGCGAGAACATTGTTGTGCTCCTGCATTCTTGCCATATCCTGTTGTAGGGTCTCCATGCGAGCCTCCAGGGTGGTCGGTCGAGCAGGTGTCTGAAGCAAGGGAGCTAAACTTGGCTCGCCACCGAGGCCGAGAATGGGGCCATCGGTGGGGAGGGCCGAAGATGGATTCATTTTTTGGTCTCAGGGTTCTTTGTTTTGAGATATGGGTTGATCGATAAGCGATTCCCACAGACGGTACCAATCTGTTGGCGCTAAATCTGAACAGATAGAGATGAGTGCAACTTACAAGAGATGTGGACGATCTAGGAGATCGATTGAGTGTTGGATGCTGATTCTTCCTGTCCTTGGATGCCGATCCTGAATAGAAAGAAGTCGAGACTCGTAAGGTCTATGGAACCGGTGTGGAACCAGCCTAAGACCCTCCGATGCCGAAGTAAGTTTGTTGTTTTAAGAGCTCTTGCTGTTGACCATATAGAAGTACAAAAGTCAAGCTGAAAAGTCTTACCCCTATATTGTAGTGGAAGGGGCCTATTTATAGAGGGCATTTAGTATGCTCTTAGTGCTCGTTTTCGATGTGGGACTCGTGGGAAGGCCTTCTGAGGTCGACACGAGTCCTTAGATATTTTGGGCGGGTACTTCGAGGTTGATTCTCTACAATCGGTAAGGGATGCCGATTGTAGACGAGCTTGGGCGCGTAATGGCTGTTCGCAGCTTTGAGACAATGCCATCGGTGGCCGATGCCGATTGTCCGAGGCCTTGGGTACTTGGGCGAGTTTATGAGATCCACGTGTTGTTGTACAAGTGGAGGGTCAGATATGGTACAAACAGAAGAGTCATACCGGTTAGCTGCTAGTTTTTGTCCTTGAGGTCATTGGACTAGATTCGGTGAAATTATGGCAGTTGAAAGGAGTATAGAAAAGTTATTTTTTAGAGTGCTCCAAATTATTTCATCTTTTTGGCTGACTTAGGTTACTAGGGAATGCTATAGGTATTTTTTATATAAAATAATAATAGTAAATCAATTAACTCAAATTAAATCAAATCAATTCCCAAAATTAAGAAATTTGAATGGGAGGCTTACAACAAAGACTCAATTATTTGTCTATGAAGAATACTAGGCTTGAGTAGATATGGGCTTAGCTAAGTTGGCTAAAGCGGATGTGTTCCCTACTCTACATTCGAGTTCGAATCCCATTCCCAATAATTTAAATTATATTAAAGTAAAATATGGTATGTATAACAATTAAAAAAAAAAAAAGGGTTTAATGACTTTAAGGAAACCAAAAAACAAAACAAAAAAAACTCAAGCTTCGGGAAAACTAGAAAAGCTCTCAGGCCAAAACAAACACCCAAACACTTAAACATTCAAAGTCTCTTGTGTTCTTCATCAAGCTCGTGGAGACTCACCAAGAACAACACACACATGTCGATTCCTCCACCACCAAAACCGTAGATGATTACGACCACGTGACACTCCTTGTGTTCCTCGTTTGTTCAAAATCAAGCATTGGCGGGCCTTGGTGAAACCTCAACAACTCAAATCATGTGATTCTAGAACAAGTGCTTGTTACCCTTGAATCAAACTCAAATTTTGAAAATAGAATGAAAAGAATATCACTACGGGCCTGTTTGATAATCATTTCAATTTTTATTTTTAGTTTTTATTTTTTATGCTAGATTATAGAGGAAAATAAGAGTGAGGATAATATTGAGAGAGGATGAGAGGGAGGAGTAACAAAAACGGAAACAATTTGAAATTGATTTCAGTTTTTAGTTTTTGTTTTCACTTTTGTTACTCATCCTTCCCATCCTCTCCTCTCATTTTCCCTCTCAATTCCATCTCCGCTTTCATTCTCACTTCCATTCTCCCTCTTTTTCCTCTATATTTTAGCACAAAAAATAAAAAATGAAAACTAAAATTAAAATAATTATCAAACGGCCCTACATAATTTATTTTGCATATATATATTCTTGTTTAATTTGCCGTTGGAAAATCATGTTTACAAGTACTTCGGTCATTTGCATCTGTTTCACTAAAGTATGCATACCAAACAATGAAGGGACACAACCTCACACACACACACACACGTGCATGCTCTGTTACACAAATTTAAGAAAGTTGTAGATTTGACTAAAATTATCAATTTTTTTTTTCCTTTCTATAACCGTATTTCTGGAAACTTGAATAAACCAAAAATGGAAACGTGGGTGAGGACTTTCTATTATGAGCGGGAGACACGTTGTCCAGTCAAAACATAACATGATCACATTAGCATTTAGCAGTTCATCATGCCACTCATATTGGCAGGGAAGTCTCAACGAAACCGTTTCTTAATATTTCCAAACACTAGCACATAGAAATGTTTTCATTCTCACTCTCATTCTCACGGAATGTGTGGAATGCGTGTGAAAGGTATAATCAAGACCATTTATGATGTTTTTTTTCTTGGTCGAAAGCAATTTGTGATGTTAAGCGTGAAGGGAAAGGTCCAAAGGTTTTTCATGAGACCTACAAAGAAAAAAGAAGAGAAAAAAAGACACCATATGAGGAATGAATAAAGAGGATTGTTAAACCTTTGACTTTGTCATAAAGGTGCTATAATAATTCCATGCCGAGGAGAATAGCAGCCCCACCATGAACACATTCGATTCTGTTCCACCAATCGTCACTAACCACATAACACAACTTTGTTACCATTTTTCAAACATTACCGTACAACAGTTGCTCATACCAGTCGAAGACCACCAGTTCAAGAACTATTTTACCCAACTCTCTTGACTTTTGCAAATCCAATCTGTCACCGTAGGTTTCATCCATTTTTGTGCAGATTGCAGATTGAATGGTCAGGATTGGCTGGTCAAAGTAGGAACACCCCAATAGTTGTGCTTTCGAAGTACACAATGTGACATTCTCCTGTCAACAAAACAAAGTTAGTCAGACAATTTGGTATAAACATGCAGACTGATGAACACAAATGAAAGCAAAAGAAAAGGTGAAAACCACAGGAAGAGGCCAGGAGAATGTGGAATTGAAAGTTTCCTTGAAGAAGAGAATTGTTGGGTAAGTTTCTCTTTCTCACTGCTTTTTTATTTTTTTCGGTCTTTCTGAAATTCCAGAACGTTGGAATTTTCTGTACAAAGTCTCCTTTGATAAATGGCTCTCCAAAATAGTCAGATTCTTGAAATGGCTAGTAAATATCCACCCAAATGGCATATAGTTTCCTGTAATATTTTAATTTTCGTTATGTGGGTCTTTCTTTAAAATTTGTTTTGGGTTATTTTTTCTACTTGTTTGTTGCTTCTCAATCTACCTAACCTCACAACAATCTAATAAAATTATTTAAATAAATATAAGCAGGTATTTTGGCCCTTTTCCTCTGTCTTAATCCCAAGGTCAAATCCTCCATCTTTCCCCTTCCTACAAAGCAAATTTTGAGGTTCATCTTCATTTGGGCTGTCTACTTAATTATACAGGACTTGATTGCTCATATCATCTCATCACCTTCTTCATAGAGGTCTTCATCTTGCAGCATCAGGTATATCTCTTTTTCCTTCTCCTTCTATTTTAGATTTCTTAAATTTCTCCTCTGATGAATTGAACTGTCATGAGCTATGTTTGCATATTATATTTACAGAAAGTCAATGAAATCATTGGCTTAGGCATGGATCTCTCTCTTCCTGTGATGATGTTTATGCATGTTGTAATCTCAGAAAGTTTTTTTTGACTTAGTCCTTTCCAGTTTGGCAACTTGTTCCTCTGTAATTGCCAGCTGCCACGAAACAACAATTTTGTTTTTTTGTTTTTGGGTTTCTTTGGAGTTGCCATGTCGTTCAAGGCTTTCATAATTCAGATACATGATTTTAAAGAAAACTAAACAACTGGTGCTGGTGTTCCATCCCAGGGCCTTTCTGTAAGCTATATCTTCTCCATCCCGGCAAACAGAACTTAATTGTCGCTTATACTTTTTGTGAGTTTCATGCAATTTCATTCATTTTGCTTCCTTGCACAAGTTTTTACCTGAAAGTGCAAAAGAACATACGGAATACAATTTTTTGAAAAAAGTTTAGAATACATTGTTAATTTCAATGGATTATTATTTCTATCTGTGTCTCCGCAGAATTTCTGCTTATTGCATCGTAGAAACTAACACCAGATTGATTTGATCTGTTTTGCTAATTTCCAGTCTTACTGAGAGTTTGACAGTAATTTACCGTCTAATGTGTGACAATTTGTGATACAGAACTCAACTGTGTGACAGAACTAGTCTTATTCAACAACTGAAGAGGTAAAACAAGACCATGTCTTTAGTTAGGCCAGCGGAGCTCTCCACCACATCTTACAGAAACTTCAAACTCTACTCTCTAAAGGGCAGCAATGACAGTTCCACCTTGTCCACTCAAACATTTATCTCCGATAAGCATAAGACTCTGTATGCGGCTGATCCTGACTCCGCTGAGAGCTATGAGAACTTGCTTGACTCCCCAATGGAAGAAATTGCAAAACCATCTAGCTCTGGCATTTCTGGAAATTCAACTAATCCACAAGGTGACTCATCTTACCAGCTCAGAGCTGGATCAGTTTCCTCCTTGAACACTCAAAATCCATTTAACACTTCTTTAATGTCCATGAGGCAACATGATGCTTATCAATCCAATTTTGAATCAGATTACTTTGAGAGTCAAAGCCCCGATGCAGATAGCTTTGATGAAGATAAGATGAGACTGAAGCTTCAAGAATTGGAGCGAGCACTTCTTGAGGACAATGATGATGAAAATGATGAGGAAATAAACTGCAGTAGTCAAAGCATGGAAGTGGATGGTGAATGGACCGATCCAATCCAGAATGAATTGCTCCATGACTCACCCAAGGAGTCTTCATCATCTGAGTCTAATGTGAGCAGCATCAGCAGCAACAAAGAAATAACACAAGCTTCTCCTCAGACACCCAAGCAGCTGCTTTACAACTGTGCTGGTGCACTTTCAGAGGGCAACATCAAAGGAGCATCAACAATGATAAGTGAGCTCCGGCAGATGGTCTCGATTCAAGGAGATCCTGCTCAGAGGATTGCAGCTTACATGGTAGAAGGCCTCGCAGCTCGCGTGGCTTCGTCAGGAAAAATTATTTACAGATCTTTGAAATGCAAGGAACCCCCATCCTCTTATCGCCTTGCAGCCATGCAAGTCCTTTTTGAGGTGTGCCCTTGCTTCAAATTTGGCTTTATGGCTGCAAATGGAGCCATTATAGAAGCATGTAAAGATGAAAAAAAAGTTCACATAATAGATTTCGACATAAGCCAGGGGAATCAATACATAACACTCATACAAACACTTGCTAATCGGCTAGGTAAGCCACCACACTTGAGGTTAACAGGGGTTGATGATCCTGAGTCTGTTCAACGTCCTGTTGGGGGCCTTAACATCATTGGACAAAGGCTCGAGAAGCTTGCCGAAGCACTTAAAGTTCCATTTGAGTTTCAAGCAGTGGCCTCGAGGACTTCAATCGTCAATACCTCAATGCTGGACTGCAGGCCCGGGGAAGCACTTTTGGTAAACTTTGCTTTTCAGCTTCACCACATGCCTGATGAAAGTGTTTCAACAGTAAACCAGAGGGACCAGCTTCTTCGGATGGTCAAGAGCTTGAGGCCAAAACTCGTTACAGTTGTAGAACAAGATGTGAACACCAATACTACCCCCTTTTTCCCAAGATTTATTGAAGCCTACAATTACTACTCTGCTGTTTTTGATTCCCTTGATGCAGCTCTCCCAAGAGAGAGTCAGGATAGGATGAATGTTGAAAGGCAGTGCCTGGCACGGGACATAGTGAACATTGTTGCATGCGAAGGAGAGGAAAGAATAGAGCGTTATGAGGTAGCTGGAAAGTGGAGGGCTAGGATGACCATGGCAGGATTTACTTCATGTCCTATGAGCACAAGTATAACTGATTCAATTCGGGAACTTATCAGACAGTACTGTGACAGGTACAAGGTGAAGGAGGAGGCCGGTGCACTTCATTTTGGATGGGAAAACAAAAGTTTGATTGTTGCTTCAGCATGGAGGTGATGATGTTGATGGATATGTATCATTTAGTTCCAAACTACTGTTATGCTTTCATTCAGTCTTGTACTTATAGTTTTGTGTGAGATCAAGACGTACACTGATACAGGTAATCGTATTCGGAGTTAATAAATAAGGACCTAGGGAGCTGCTACGTATCTAACATGAGCCTTTTCCTCCTTCATCCACCAACCTAACTCACCCCGAAGCCACATCTCATACCTCATCACTTGCCCTCTCTCCGTCCTCAGCCATCACGCCTCCATCCCCTGATCCCGTGCCTCTAATCCCATCCTCCAACCCTGCCCCCGACTTCCCCAGATCGCACGCCATGCTGCTCCCAGCATCCGGCAGTGCCAGTCACAACGTCCCTTCTTGCCTGACTGCTCCAGACGTTGGACCAGCTCTCGAGCCTCTGTCCTCCTCCTTATCCTCAACGGCAGCGCTGGACACAGCCCCTGCCTCTGCACCTTCTACTGCTTCTACTCAACCACCACCCTCACGCTCCAGCCCGATCCACACTCGCTCGAAATCTGGGATACATAAACCCAATCCCAAATATCATGCCAATTTCTCCACCCGTTATCCCCTGCCTCAAGCTTTTGCTGCTTTTTTAACTACTGATGATGAACCTACTTCTTACACACAGGCCTCTCGCTTTCCTGAATGGAAAAATGCTATGGTTGAAGAGTTCAATGCTCTTCTTAAACAAGGGACTTGGTCTTTAGTTCCCTCATCCCCTCATTTCAATACAGTTGGTTGTAAATGGGTCTTCCGAGTAAAACGCCATTCTGATGGGACTATTGAACGTCACAAAGCTAGGCTTGTTGCCAAGGGTTACCATCAACAACCCGGTGTGGACTACTTTGATACTTTCAGTCCCGTTGTGAAACCTACCACTGTTCGCACTGTGCTCAGTTTAGCTATCTCTTCTGGTTGGTCTCTCCGACAGTTGGATGTCAAAAACGCTTTTCTCCATGGCCTTCTTACTGAAGAAGTCTACATGCAACAACCTCCTGGTTTTGTTGATCCTAGTCGCCCTCACCATGTGTGCAAGCTTCATAAGGCTCTCTATGGTCTCAAACAGGCCCCTCGTGCTTGGTTTCATCGCTTTAGCTCATTCCTACTTCGTGTTGGTTTTGTTAATAGCAAAGCTGACTCTTCCATGTTTGTTTACAAAGATGCACATTCTATGATGATTCTGTTACTTTATGTGGATGATATTGTTCTTACAGGTAGCGACTCCAATCAACTCCGTACATTCATTCACAGATTGGGCATTGAGTTTGAAATCAAGGATCTTGGTAGATTGCATTACTTTCTGGGTGTTGAAGTTTCTTATTTGCCGGATTCAGTTCATCTTACTCAAAACAAGTACACTCTTGATCTTCTCAAACGCAGCAACCTTCTTGAGTGCAAACCTGCGACTACTCCTACAGCTTCCAAGACCTCTCTATCACGCTCTCATGGTTCACCACTTTCAGATCCCACTCCTTATCGGCAACTTGTGGGTGCCTTGCAATACTTAACCTTCACACGACCCGACATTTCCTATGCCGTTCAACATGTCTCTCAATTTATGGGCTCCCCTACTGATGTTCATTTTGAGGCTGTCAAACGCATTCTCCGTTACCTGAAAGGCACGCTCGGATATGGTCTACCCATTCACCTTTCTCCTGCCCCCTCTCTTCTTGTCGCATACTCTGATGCTGATTGGGCTGGATGTCCCGATACTCGACGCTCCACCACTGGGTATTGTGTTTTCTTAGGCAAGACTCTTATATCTTGGAGTGCTAAAAAGCAACGCACTGTATCTCGTTCCAGTGCGGAGGCCGAATATCGTGCACTTGCCCATGCTTGTGCTGATACAATTTGGATTCAGAGTCTTCTTCATGAACTTCACTTCTCTCTTTCTAAACCAGTTCTTCTTCATTGTGACAATTTATCTGCAACCTACATGGCTGCCAATCCTGTCTTTCATTCCCGCACTAAACATGTTGCTATTGATTATCATTTTATCCGTGAACGTCTTACTGCTGGAAGTCATCAAGTGCGGTTCATTTCATCTCAAGATCAGCTTGCTGATGTATTCACAAAAGGCCTACCTGCAGCCCGTTTTGCGCATCTTGTGTCCAACCTTGTCACCTATCCGGCGTCAAGTTTGCGGGGGAGTGTTAGGGAGTTACCACCACAATCATGACATTCAATCATAGTTATGCCCATTCAAGGAGTATTTCCGTTACATTGTTATTGTATCTTAATTATAGCTTTATTGTATTGTAATTACAGCATTTAGGTTTGATATAATTACTGCACTACCGTTGTAAAACCATTTACCTACCTCCTATGCCTGTATATAAGGCCTGTACCCGTGAATTGCATATATGAAAAAGTATCTTTTCTACAGGTGGATTAGACCAGTTAACCAGAGCAGTAAGCCCAAGTTCAAATCCCTTAGATTAGATTAATTTGGAATAGTTTAGACTATTGCTTGTATAAAAAAAGAAAAAAAATATCTTTACACAATACAAATGCTACCTAAGTAGAGAAAAATATCAATTTTTACTTTTATATTTTATCCGAAATACCAGCCGCTACAATGATAATTTCTAACACATTCCTCCCAGCCACCGAGAAAAAGGTGACGATTAATTTTGAATATGATTGAAAATCATCAAAATTGTGAAAAATAATATTATGCATAAATTACAAGATCAGAAAATACAATTAGGACTTCCCTCTGGTAAGCATGGGAATAAACTACCTCTTCAACTTTTCCAGCACTTTCTCGTCCCCTCTTGTAAGAGACCCTGTTTTCATTCCAGATTTTCCTTCATACCTTTGCTGACTTCTGATATTCCATAGGGAATTTAGTAGTTATCCAAGCCTCCTAAAAAAATCATTCGGACAAGAAGCTGCTTGAACCTTGTAAGATATGTAACCGTCGCGCTCTTGTGAACACTGATCATAAGTAGAAAGTAGAAAAAGCTGCCGGAGTGCTCATTTTTGTCCATAAGATCTCCTCACCTAATTCTCTCTGGAAGTCACTCCTACAACCCTTTGATATCTCTACTCAATTCTTCACACCAACAAAACACAATGCTACCTCAGCTTGGGCTTGGAGCTCTTCCAATACCTTTACAATGCTCTCGCGGCACATTGTGGTTTCACTACGATCCAAAAGCAATTTCCTTAATCTTCACCCATGCACAAGAGTTAACAGGGTCAGACACGAATCAACTTCCATTAAGCAACTTGACATGCAACAATCCAAATAAATTTGTATTATTTTATAAGATGTCAACCAAATAGTTGATATTAAAGCCTTAGATTTCAATGAAACAAGATTCACCAGTCGAAGAAAATTCTATCCTTGAGCTGCATCTCTTTTGGGACATACACTAGAAGTAAGGATTGAACTCATCAAGCTACACTTTTGAATGCTACCAGTACTTGCAAGAAATAATATTGTGCACAATGTTCACAAAAATCTATCACCAGAGGTGACTACACTATTCCAAGAGTTTGCTCTGTTCTAGAAGACCAAGGCAGTCTTGATCTTGACACTAAGAGCTTGTGTATTGTGCAGCAAAAAGTCACGCATCACAATCAAACTCAACCTCATGTCCAATTAAGTATTCCTCCCTTGAGGTTTAAGGGTATTCGAGTTTCAGAAATTTAAACACTTAACCTTCTTTCCCATGATAAACTTCAAGGGCAGACTATCATGCACACTAAAAGTTACTGAGCTTGCACATCAGTTTCACATTCTTTTGTCTTCTCATACTTTGTTAAAAACTTTATTGTTGGTTGACATAACATTTTTTGCTTATAAAAATAACCTGTTTGATCACCATGAAACTTTGGAATATTCTAACCATCACATATCTTAATTTCTTCTTCTTAAACAATATTTCTGAAATTGACGATTTTAGAAAAGCTATTATTTAAAAAGCATGCATCTGGTTTATGGTCTTAATGTATTTTATGGGTCACATGGTGGTACTAAGAAATGCATGCTAAGGAAAAGGGTATCTTCACTAATGGAATCAACTTCAGTAACAATGGACCAGTATTTCACAGCCCCCATGCCATCTCCAATGTTAAGTCAATAATTGCCCTTCTAGCCTACTAGTAGTTGAATCAACATTCAAAATTACTGCTTATATCAATGTTTCATATAACAAATCTGTTAAGCTGAGGCGTCAACAGAATACTACGCTGATTGCCATTTAAACAACACCAAATGTATTTCCACTAAGGGATCACCAACAATCTGACTGTCGCGATAGGCAAATTTCCTCAACATGCAGAATCAATAACTCATATATTGCTCTTTAAAAATATTTTCAAGGGACAAACAAAAGACAACATCGTAATGATCAAGGTGCAATGCAGTACATACCTATAGACAGTTGCTATATCTCCATGACCGGTGCAGACAATAATCATGGCATTAGTGGGTAATGCAGCATAGAGGGTACGTATTCTAGTATCCACTCGCTTTAGAATTTCCTTGAGTTCAGATGCCAAGTTGCATTTAATACCTTTTTTATTGCCTGAATTCTTATCACATGTAAGCAAGGATATCATCTCTGCAAGTTTTCCATTTAACTTCTCCGGATCCTCTGCTTGTTTCTTGAAATAACAATTCAATTCAGAAAACTGAGTCCAGACAAAATGCACTCTATCATTCCTTGCCTACAATCAACAGTAGATGAAGACAAGCATGTAAAAAGATGTAGCCAAGACAAATAATAAATACAAGAAAAGTACGGGGGGCACAGCCATTACAATTTACCTCCTTTTGAGCTTTGGAAGAAGCTTCATCATCAGAGGACACAGGAACTGCATGGGATAATTCAGAAGCATATCGCTTCACAATAGAAACATCATCAATGATAGAGGAGGTCTTTCCACTCTCACTCAAAACAGTTAGGAGTCTTTTCCGTATCAGTGATGGTCTTGTGCCAAAGTCAGGTCCTAATCCAAGAAAGAGGGCATGCATATAAGATCAAAACTAAATTCAACATTAACAGACATTGACGGATTCAAAGGCACATGATAATTATCTCAGCTACATAAATGTATGTGCTGACCATAGGGAGGTTCAATCTAAGTCAAAACAAAATTCATATAAATTAAGAAAAGTAGTGCTGTTGATATGTACACACTGCATTGTGATACAGAAAAAAGGGTGTAAGAGAAATCTGTTTTGCAAGATTTAAACTCTTTGGCAGGCTACATATCTTCCTGTTCGTGAATTTACAAACTACACACACTTTTTGATTTCCACCAATGTCCTTAAATTCCACTAATGGTACGATTTAAATGCAAAAGATAGCCACTTACCATGTCTAATCTTTAGAAGTGCCAATTCCATAGCAGCTCTTGCATCTTCAATACTGTCATGGCCATCCCCTGACTGCTGTATCTCTTTAGAAAGAAATTTCCGGGCAAGATCCCGAAGTTTAGATTTGTAAGATCCACCACGGGAGTACCTGTACAACACTGCTGTATCAATCACTAGATTGTGAGAGATTTTTAATGCTAACAAGTCATTCTCCAAGGAATGCCCCACTAGGATGGTCTCTTTGTAAACCAGCTTTAGAAATTCGTCCTGAGCATACAAAAGGAATGTTATAAATCAGAATGAAATGGTGTCTTAACATGATATGATAAAATTAATGAGTGAAGTAACATCTCACAAGTCATTACCATGGAAAACCAGTAAGCACCAATACAATATACATATGTACAAAATGGAGAGCAAGACCCAAGAATGAACCTGAATATCTTTAAGACTTGTAGTCACGCCATCTAACATCTCACTTGTGATTCCACTGAACCTGCATAGAAAGTCACTTGTCATTCACTAAGCAGTAAATCAAATATTAGACCTGCAATCAAATTATAGGGCTCATGTTTATCCAAAAGTGCATCAACATTAAGAATCACCTATACCAAGAAATAAAATAATAAAAAATGAAAAACTGATGGTTTGATTAAAGCTGTACACGTTTCCTATGGTATTTTTATTTTTCATATTGAATAGAAAACTATCAATGCCCAAGTTTGGTTGAGTCATACATAAAGATTATAAACGTTTAGCTCATTCTGTCTAATTGTTTTTTTTTTTCCAGAGAAGTTACTTCCTCTTCTTTTATCTACTCATTACTCCAGCACTGTGAGACAACAAAATGTCTGGATTCCTTGCCTTTCTCAATTCCTATCGAGTTTAATTATTTCCAAGCAATATCAGCAGCCATAACTGTTTAAAGACTAGAGCAAATACATTAAAGGAATAACAAAAGCAATAAAAACATACCTGGTGTTATAATCTACGATAGTATTTGTTGGTTTAACCAATTTATCTAGCACAACCTGAGATTCATCAAAGGGAAAGTTCAAACATTGAGAAAACAAGTTATTAGCTGTGGTAACAAAGCCATAAGAACAAAACTACATAGAAGAAATTTTAACACTCTAGAGTACATTAAGAGTTTCAAAGCATTCAGAATCATATATACTAGTCAAAATTTCAAAAAATCTTGGCAAGAACTTGAAATAATTTTATATGAGGAATTCCAAAAAGCCTAAACAGGACTTTGGCAATACTATTAAGAGGGCTTATATCATAAATGGCCCCTGACGTCTTCGTGTTTAAAATTGATCAATGACGTCTTCATGTTTTCCACAGGTCCTTTCCGTTCATTTCCGTTAAAATTCTGTTAATGCGCTGGCATGGCACACATAGGGAAGGAAAGGAAATGACTAATTTGCCTTAACTAAGTGACCACGTGCTACTCACACAATCACTTATTGAAAAACTAACAAAAGTTGAGATTTGGACCAACTCCATGAAGGATTATTGATTTACGGGTGTAAGCAGTGACATTCAGATTTTAGGGACTAAAATGACACACAGGCCAAAGTTGAAGAGACATGAGCAAGATTTCAACTGAATTTACAAGTATTGAAACATTCCAATTTAAATGAGACCACTCAACAATTGCATAGTCACATTAAAATCTAACTTCTAGATTAAATAAATTTATAAAAAAATGTATGAAATTCTTGCATCCAACCCACATTTAAAACCCAGATACTTTTGCAGAATTAGGAAACAAAATATTCAGAACTTGCCTTTCCTTTGATAGTCACCAATGTTGCTCTTGTTAGCTCCAAACCCTCACTTGTGACACACTAACAAAACAAAATGGATCAACCAGGATGACATGAGTACACCAATACTTTATGAGAAAATAATAAATACTAAATTTCCACAATCTGAACACGTCATATACAGGGTGACAAGATTAACAGCTAAAAACAAAAAAATTAGCATGTATGATTTTAAGAAAAGTAGAAGCATGTGCATTCAATAAGCAACTTTCAGAAGGTAGTGATCTAGTTTTAGAACTTCAAGCTCAAATGTCAGTACGTGACCTCTTATCGATAACCAAGTCTTATACTTGTCATTCCTTTTCCCATGTTGTCCTTTCTCTTTTCTGAACAAGACACCAAGCCACCTTGTGTCCACCAAAACCAACATCATCCCTCCCACAATGAAACTGTCCCAAGGTGAAGGGAAAAGAAAAGCCTAGAAGCACCCTGCACTACCTCCAAAAAATATACCTATCAAACATAACCACCCCAACCCCAAAGTAGTTAAACTCAAGATCACCAACAAACAGCTCTTAAACATTTTAATCAGCAGCTACTGGCTCAGATACGAAGTCACTGGTGGATAAACCCCCCATTTAGGATTCAGCTAACAAGTACAAAATAAATTGAAAGGAAGAATGTGCCCTACAATGAACTTCCCACAGGCTAACAGTTATCTAGTACTTTATGGAAATAATTAAAATATATTCCTCTCTTCAAAAAATTGACATTCAAGGATTTACCATCTCGCAATCAAGTGCCAACATTTCATAATGAGATGATCCTGAAAGGGCTGGAAGAGTTGAAAGAAAACCTGTATTGAAACAATATAAGAGTTTAAGGAACTACCCACAAATTAACTCAGAGAAAAGTTTAAATAATAACTAAAACAGCACATGTCTTGTTACCTGGCTGATTGAAGCAATATCCATTGTCTGCAAGTTGTTTTGTTGTAAGAGTGTAAAATGTAATAGGGAAAGGTAGATCTTTCATAAGGTCCACAGAGGATGGATCATCTGTACCAGAATGACATGTATAGACAACCAAAAAAGAATGTTAAGATGATCCGCAAGGAGTGGCAACATAATTTTCAGAAGGGACATACTTGTTATAAAGGAACAAAACCTTCATTCATGTCCAGTCACAAACAGCTAATAGTAAAAGTTAATTTAAGGCGTGAAGGATGAAACCTCAAGCAAGGTTAAATATATCTTAGTAAAGTGCAAGAAAAATAAAAATGCATAGGTCAAAGGAATAAGACCAACAATGGTTCAAGTACAGGACCTTTTAAATTTCCTTGCATAACTTCAGTAAGGAAATTACTTATTTTAAGTAAAAAGATAAAAATATCATAACTTCCATTATGCAGCTTGCATCAAATGATAAAAACCTAAACCAACTTAAGAAATGCAAAAACTGTACGACTAAATAACCAATACAAAAGATATCTCAAAGATAAGAGAAAACTGACAAGATATTTGGATTCTATTCATACTAACATCAATGCATGAATTTCAAAAGCGAAAGCTTTTCTACACTTCCATATGCAAGGACTTTTACGGTGAAATCCAATATTTTATTGTAATATTTTTTATGAGACATTCCAATCTTAGGAATCATTAGCTGACCATATGAATCAGAAACTACTCTTTCTGGATGGCTAAGTAACACATACAAAAGAGATCTCCAAGATATCTGGACTCTATTCACATTGATGAAACAATGCATGAAGTTCAAAAGGGAAATCCAAGGATTTTTATGGTGCACTCCAATATTATAGTGTAATAATTTTGATGTTACACTTCAATGTTAGGAATCATTAGCAATCTATATGAAGCAGAAACTACTCTTTCCGGATGGCATTGTGTTTTTGTTCATGCTTTGTGCATGCAAATACTTGGGAATACTACAATGAGAGTAAATACTTGACAGCGTGAAGAAAACAACAAAAGCTTTTTTTTTCAACTTCTGGAAGCAAACAAAGTTGGCTATGCGAAATTAGCTTCATCCATATGACATGCTGCATTTGGTTTCTTATTTTTAATCACAACCCTGTAGGCTCTTTCCTAATAGTTCCAATCCAAGATTTCCTCCTCACATGAGAAATTTTTCTCCTCTTACATAACATTAATACACTCCCAACAAGGGACTCGTTAATTCAGAACAGTGTACATGAAACTATAATGAACAAAATTACCAAAGAGAGGACTTCTAGCCAAACTGGAATGGAGTAGTTTTAAAAAAGCAACTAGAGCGCTGCAATAAGTAGACAGCCACCTGAGCAGTGTTCTTTTCAGTGCATGCATATTACTGAAACACCAGAGACCTATATAAATACGCAGAGATTCAGGGTGCTTGTGGCTTGCTTTTCTACTCAGACAAGTTGGAATAGCATTCCCCCAATTAAATTATCCTTGAACCCCGTACAATTACCAATTTTTTCATGCAAATTAGCAAATTAAGATTAGAGCAAGAAGTTTGGTATGATCAATGTCACATACCTTGTTGAGATGCCAGGTTAGATTTCTCTGTAGCTGTACTATTTTCTTCCCTCTTTCTTTTCACTTTGCATGTTAGGAGGGCATCAATCGTCTGCATTCCATCTGACATACAGCTAACATAGGAAAAAAAAAAAAAAAAAAAAAAAAGAATAAAGCCATAAAAAGTGCAAGCACAGGAAAATACACAATAATAACCTCGTAAGGCGGAGGAAAAAAATCATATTCATCACCTACCTGAGAGCTAAAACTGGTCTTGGCTTGCCACAAAATTCTTTGAGACTCTTAAGTAGTCGGTGCTGTGATAAGTACAAAGCTGCATCCAGGCCTGGGACATAAAGCATAACCACTTTGGGAATGAGCGGTTTGTTCTGCAAAATGCAAGGTTACAGTATAAATAACTCTAAGGATTCATGTTTCTTTCCACTGCATGTCTGTAAATTATGCACCAAAGCCAAACAGATTGGGAAATATATAGAACAGGGTAACATTTCACAGTTTAATGAGTCTTTCACCTATTTGATGGGATGTGTTAACATTATCTATGGTCAAACTCTCTACAACTTATCAACGGATATAACCATGTTGGTAGGAATATTAACAACTCTTCCACCTATTTTTGGTAATATTGCTCATTATGGTTCATTGGTCTGTAACCATTCATACACTGGAATGATCAAAATAGACGATAAGGAATGAGAGCATCCTTTACCTTAATAAAAACCCATGACGGCATGAATCCTTCACCAAGCACCCATGTCACTAGTTCTTGAACCTCCTGCACCAAAACACAAACTGGGCTGACTCTTTTTTCTTAATTAATAAATGGCCAAACTCAAATCAAAACTTTTCCAACCAATTCACAGAAAATGAACAATATTTCAAAAAAATTGGGTGATTGAGAATACCCACTTGCAAGTTCAGAGTTGAGTTGGCTTCTGGCGTCTTAAAAACCACCTCTGCTTTACTCTGAAAAGGGGAAAAAAAATTATAAGTAATGCACTAGAGTTCATTCTTTATCAAAAGCCACCAGACAGAGCAACTATAAGGCAGGCACAAAAGTATTACTGGTATAAGCTAAAGTTTACTGCACTGCATACATGCATAACACTAACACCACAACAATCGAATGCATAGCTATAAACACACCTCTTTTAGATACAAGAATATATGCCACCTCTATATTTACTATTTTGTTTATATAAAAAATTTCAATATTCAAATGCAATATAACGATCAGCAATTATTATTAATCCCAAAACCAATTCATAGCCAAACAAAGAAGAAAAATAAAATAAAATTGAAGAGAGAGAGAGTACTTGAGGGCCATAAACATCGAAGAAAGTGGAGCGCTTGCTATCATTTTTGTTGCTGCTGGAGCTAACTTCTTCCTCAGAAACTAAAGCTTCGCATTTATTGAGGGAAGAAGGCATGGCTTCTGTGAAGCTTAACCAATCAACCCCGAGAACACAGAACAGAGAGCAGAGAGAGAGAGAGAGAGAGTATAAACCCTTGTATTTTTCTGGGTCAATCCGAAATTAGACCCGACAACCCAATTGTTGAGTTGGGCTGGGCTTGAAATTTGCGCGGGTTGTAGTCCTATCCAGGATAAGGATATCCTTATCCACTGTTAGTATAAAGGCCTATGACAAGTTAGTCGGTCAGCCAAACCGCCCTACACTTAAAGAAGGCTCTGGAATGTACAAGTAATCGATTTCACAATTCACACACAGCAGCACGACGAGCAAGAGAGAGAGAAATAGAGAGAGAGATGTCTAGATCACTGGTGCAGCCCGTAGGGCAGAAGAGGCTAACGAACGTGGCGGTGGTGCGTCTGAAAAAGCGCGGCACTCGCTTCGAAATCGCTTGTTACAAGAACAAGGTCCTCTCATGGCGTTCTGGCGTGTAAGCTCTCTTTCTCAACCTCTAAAATCTGTTTAAGTTAAATGCCAAATTATTGCTAAAGAAGGATTTGCAAGAAGTGCTTTGCTCCCTCAGCATATTTTCCTAGAAGAATTAGAATAATATGTATACACCATTTTTATTGAGAAATATTTAACAAGTGTCAAGTGTGTATCATACAGTCTGTAACATATTCTATACAAGTAAATGTATTCATGTGTGTTGATTTATATATACAAGTCTAACTGCAGAAGCAAAATGTTGGGCAGACTTCTGTTGTCAATTGATATTTGTGGATATAAAGGAAACTTGTGTAATGTGTTCTCGTTAGTTTTTTTTTTTTGTTTTTTTTTGTTTTTGTTTTTTTTTTGTTTTTTTTTTTTGTTTGGGTCTAGAACATTTTAAATTTAATTTAGTATCATTGGAGGCATTAATATGTTCTAATATAAATAATTTAAGAAAGTGGTTATGTTATATGTTTGGGACAGAGAGAAAGATTTGGATGAAGTGCTACAATCACATACCGTTTACACGAATGTCTCGAAAGGTATTCTTGCCAAGACAAAAGATTTGAACGCTGCATTTGATTCAGATGATCAGACCAAGATTTGTTTGGAGGTCAGTGAAATAAATTTGTTTGTGTTATTTATCTGGTCAATTAGCTTTGTAAATGTATGGCTGACCTGTAAGCTTTGTTGTTGTAGATTTTGGACAAAGGAGAGCTTCAAGTGGCTGGGAAGGAGAGGGAATCTCAGTTGTCCAGTCAGTTTCGAGACATTGCCACCATTGTTATGCAGAAAACCTATAATCCCGAAACTCGGCGCCCTTACACTATTAGCTTGATTGAGAGTCTAATGCATGAAATTCACTTTGCTGTAGATCCACATCGAGGTTCGAAGAAGCAGGTGTCTGAATTTTTCTTTCGTTGCATCTTACATAAGAATATATAGTTGTATGGAGTTTAATAAATGCCTGATAGATGTGAATTCAACCACTTTTATTGATAACTACTGTATTAACTTAAATACCACAAGTAAGTACCAGGGAAAAGAAAAAGATTGGTGCATTCTAAATGAGTCTGCCAGTATGCAAATTATGTTGCAGGGTATTATTGTCTGTGAAATATAAGCATTCATTTATTTTTATATGTATGTGTGTATGTGTGTATGTGTGCATGTGCATGGTGTTCCTCTTCTGTGAAATATGTGTATAATGTGTAGACTTGCGTATGTGTGCACATGCGTGCTTGCACATGGTGTTGCTGTCTGTGGAATATCTGTACAAATGTAGGACATATATCTCTCTAATTGTGTGAGGTGCAACGTTTCTGATTTAGGTAATATGGCACATGGTGTTACCGTCTGTTGAATATCTATTATACCATTTCTTATGCAGGCTCTGGAAGTTATTCATGAGCTTCAGAAGCACTTCCCGATAAAACGGTCTCCAATGAGATTGCGACTCATAGTACCTGAACAAGAATTTTCATCCCTTTCGGAGAAGCTGACTGCCTGGAATGCTACAATAGTTTCGAAAGATCAAACTGGAAGTCAGATATCTGTTGTAAGTCTTGATATTTTATTTGTCTTTTTCAAATTAATTTCTTAAAGTGCAATAGAGACTGATGTACTTTAAGCATGCTACTTACCAAGTCACGCATATACAATTGTTTATGCAATACTCTTCCATTGTGGGAGTAATCGAGAACTCTTATCGTCTGTTCATCTTGTATTTTATATTGTGCAGATTTGTGAATTGGATCCTGGTTTTTATCGTGAGTGCGAGGGATTGATGATGAAGTTGCATGGGAGATATGAAGTTCTTGCACTCTCTGTGCATGCTGAGGGTGACACTGTTATTGATCAATATGATGATCATGAGGATGAACCGTCACGCTCGCTCAATGAGTCCTCTGATTTTGACTTATCAAAGAAAAAAGAATCTACTGATTCTGACTTATTGAAAAAGGAGTTGGCTGATCCTGTACTAAAACTGAGCAATGAAATGCAAAAACAGAGCATCTCTACAGGGAATGGAACTGCTGCATCGGAGGGAAAGCAGAACAAATGCAACACATGCAATGCGTTTGTGGGTGATTCCAAGCAGTACAGGGATCATTTCAAGAGTGAGTGGCACAAGCATAACTTGAAGCGCAAAACCAGACAACTTGCTCCCCTTACTGAAGATGAGTGTGCGGCTGACATGGAAATGGATGACCATAAGGCGGATTTGAAGGATTATTCCTTTTAATGGACGTCGATGTTAAAATTTGAAAGCCTGAAATGGTTGGTCACTGATTTACAAAATCTGACATACACTTCTGTGTTAATTTTGATTAGAGATGATGAATGAATCTGTTTTTACAAGAGATTTATTTACGCCGAAACTTATAATAGAAATTCTTGGCCTATATCTCAAAGCCAATGTATGAGGCAGTGTTCCCTATGGACTGAAATTCCTATGCATCTTTGTATTACAAATTTTTCTCACGTATGTAAATTTCTGTAGCCCATGAACCCGTTTTAATATAAATCCGTACAAACCCGTTTCAGTTTTCTTTCAATTTCTTTACTGTTGTCAATCTGAGTGTGCAGTCGACTCTCACAACCAGAAAGATAGCAAGGAATGGAATGTGGAAGTCGAGAAATTGGCTAAGACAAGCAATGGGTTCTAAGCCATTTCTTTGTTGTAGAAAGCACGGATTAGTGAGTGGGAAGTGAAAGTATGGTTTTATTTGGTTTGGGTAATATTTATTGCACATCAGATTGGTTCGTTGGTTGGACGACCCAGCTTTGGTTGAATCCTCAACTCTTGGTCAATTTTCCTTGCCTGAGACACTTGCGTTTTTTGGTCTTCTACCAAAGAAAATTAATCAAAATATCAGTTCTTCATCTGAGCTTTATGCTTTACCCTTTAATCTTTTTTATGTAGAAAATAGTGTGTTATCTCTTTTATCGTGTGTCAAAGATGAATTGGCTCGTCTGTAGTCTGTAGCCTGTAGGTGGGATGGGTAAAGAGGTGGGGAAGGAGAAAGGAGAGAGCTTTGCCGTGAAATGGAACTCAAATGGGTTTCTCGGGTAGTTTTTTTCCCCACTATACGGGCATGAGTATAATAAGTTATACATTATTAACCGTAAGGGGCTTGTAACTCAAGTAGTGTATTTATCCATGCATTCTAGAAAAAAAAACGGTTTTTCATACGTTTGTCCCCAGAGTCTCTTATAGGCCGAGCAGTTATGTCCTCAGATTTTATGTAGTAAAAGGATTTTCTAGCAAACAGATCTGAGATAGTTGCGATGAAAAGGCTTGAATGGGAAGAAACATTTACGCCTTGACATGGGGGAATAGTTTAGATTAATCCAAAAGATTGAGGTGCAATTTTGGCCCAAGCGGAGTTTACGAGTTTGGGTGGCAACGGGTGTCCATATGTGACAAATTTTGGAAAATGACACCATCCCTATATATCATCGCATATGTGATAAAATTTGGGAAATCCCTCGACTATCCCTTTATATCATCGCATATGTGGTAAAATTTGAGAAATCCCTCGACTGAAGCTTTGTGCAAGTAGTATATATATGATATTTCCTTGCCAAACACAGATATATTTGATTATTCAATCTAATATAATGTACAAGAACATTCCATTTTAGTAACAAGCGTTCTCCTTCAACCCTCAACTCATAATTTAGATGCAAGTAACTCAATACATATTATGACAGAAGCTTTTTTGTAGTGCGAGCACAAACACATATAGCTTGGTTAAACTCCTCATCTTATGGAATGTCCACATTTAAAAATAAATCTGCAATTTATAGCCATTTTTCATCATCACTCCACAGATGCAAAACAATAAATGCTAACATGTCAAACAAATGCAGTGCAGTCATCCGAACATGAATTATACGAATTAACACCAACAGCAAAACAAATACATATGGTATCAAAACAACAGTCACTAGTTTAAACCATAATATCAACAACATAATACAACAATGTTCATAATATAAGTGCATCCCAGTTATTTTTCAGCGAATTCATAATTAAGCCATTGAAGCTTGATGTCAGGATCTTTCATGTAAGTGAACATCTCTCTCTTGTCTTCAGATAAAAATAACCGAGTTGCAAAGAACCACAATTTGCTCCCTGGCTCTGCTCCAGGTAAAGATTGAACTGCTTGCATCACTTCAGGAATGCTACTGCCATGTACACCTTCCTCCAATTTAAAAGTTACAGAACTACTACTGTCAACTGACTCAAGAAGGTGATCAATCTTTTCTGACAATTTCACAGTGCCTCCAGCCTTCTGCCCACCTATAGCAACTCTTTTGCCTTTCTTTTCTTTCCTAACTTGAGTATCAGGTTCTTGAACTGTTCTCCTTTTCCCCCTCCCTGATGACCTCTTTGTAGCTTGAGTGGTCAGAATTGGGATGAACTGTTCAGAATCACCACTACCTTTGAGTTTAATGGCATCATCTTTGGATGCTTCCTCACTTTCAGATGGAACACCAAACGAGGATGCCTTAGCATGTTCCCTGGTGGTTCTGGTCTTCAGGAACATCCTATCTAGCTTCTCCTCCATCTCAGGTTTAATGCCTTTGTTTCGAAATTTTGCAAAATTAGAATCTACCTACATTTTAGAGAGAGATGCGACTATTAGAAAAGATTCATGATGATATAATTAAAGACAACTTTAAAAACTAAAAAGAAGTTTACACACCTGAACTCTACTATGCCACCATTCATCAGATGCATCAATGGTATTCTTCGTGGGGTTCCATCCTAAACCAGTTTCCTTTCCAATTAGTTCTGTCCACATTTTCCATTCAGCTTTAAGTGAATCCCACTTATTTTTCAGTTGTGGTTTATCATAGTTGTTTCCTGTCTCTTTACTTAAGTGTGCAACCAAATTTTTCCATCCAACTTTGCTAAAGTGAGTGTCAGGAGGATGTCCTGCCTCCACCTCCTTAATACACAGGTCACAGAATATAGCTACACTTAGATCATTCCATATGGTTGCAGCTTGTGATCCACTTCCAACCTTTTCAGCACAATTCATCTTATTGTTCTTCCTTCCCATCTGTGTGTATATGCATATACATGTATATAACTGTAAGTCAAATGTATTGATTAAAGAAAATATCATATGTATACAATTATATATATATAGTCAAACCGAGATATGAGACAAACGGCCACCATTTTTGTTTTTCTTCACATTACAACTGTAAAGCTCCTTTTCACGTTTGATGGCCTCTGGTTTGTTTCTTTCAAGTACATTAATGATGTCAACTGGACAAGCCTACAAAAAGTGTCTTTCATCCAATAAGAATTATATGCAGTATAATACCACCAGCTTTGGTGTGCTGTCAAACCAGGACTCAGGAACATGCTTCCTAATATTTGTTTTGCTCTTGAAATTTTGATCATTAGTCTAGTTAGTTGATATCTGATGCATGAGATGGGTGATGAAAAAGTACTTCTTCATGCTTGTTTCCAGAGTTCCAATGGAGTTGAATTCAATAATATAGCAAAAACATGGTTGATATGTCATCCATGCAGATAAAATATGGTGAGGTTACATCACAGTTTTAGCACACGATCACTAGGTGGAGAATATTACCGTGAGGCCTTCAAAGCTCTTGAAGATGTCACCTTCAGTCTCATCAGCCGGTCTTTAGCAATCTGGCAAGAACTATTTCTATACTAATGAACTTTTGAGGTTGCCTGCTGTGGAAAAAAAAAGCACTAATTTGTAACAAAAACTGCTTAACCAAACTATTAATAAAACTTTATGTTAAGATGAGAAGAAAAGTGTTACAACCTCTAAACTTTAAAATGTTTGGGGAAGGTGATGAAGGTGTCAAAAGGACAAGTTAGATTTTGAGTTCACGGAAACAGATCTGTAGAGAAAAAGAAAAGTAAATGTATAGAAGTTGGCAAATTTTTTAAGTCACTGATAAAACATACAAAGTAGTTTATCCATCACATATATCTTCATCACTCAGATAAATGCAGAGGGAAAAAAAATTAACCGTCAAAACTGACATCCATTTCAATTTGTTTGTCTGCTTTTCAAATATGAAAATCAACAAGTTATGGTCAAAACTCATATCAACGTAATTAAGTGTGTGCACAATGAGTAGCACACAGATTGTATTTTTTATTTTTTTTAATGAGAAACAAGAACAATTTTATTAAACAATAAGGATAGTGTACAATCGCAGTGGGCAAGTGGTCCATCAAAGATACACATCCAAAACAACAAAAACCATCAGACTTCCCACAAAAAAAACCCTATCTGATAATGGACTATTACATAACTGCTGCTTTCCAATCTACAATAGTAAAAGAAAGTAAAACCCAAAATTTAGATGAAACTGAAGCCCAAAGTGAAGATCAAAATCTAACTCTATCCCATAGCAGCTCCACCTCCACCCTAATATAATTGTCAAAATCCTCTTCTGCTACTCCACCCAAATTATCCACCTTAAGCCTTTCACACAGGTGAGAATAGCATCTGGCTGGAATTAGCCAACTCAAATTCAATTCTCTGAATCACACAGCTTGCATCTTCACATAGATTAGTTGACAGATGGTCCAAAGTTGCTGAATACCACATGAACTATGAACACAAGGGGTTATATCAAATTACCCTTGGAACTTTCGCGCCATTGTAATGTCCCTCCAGAACTTGTAGATAATGTTGAATAGCCACCTCTGTTATCCCATACCGCCAACAACAGACGAGGCGTGCTTATGATTATCACATGAGGGTAATGGCTTGTGTTTCACTAATAACATCAACCTAACATATCCCAACTGTAATCTCCTTGAAAGCAAAGACAATGGAATACTAAGAAATCCATCCACGAAGAAATGGCAGAGAGCAAATTGCTATGCAGATGAAACATACGACTAAATATGATGGATGACAAGAGAAGCGGGAGATAACCACAAATACTCAAAAGGGCATGAAAATCTCAATCAGTTATATCAAAACAAAGTTTAGCCTCATCCCAAGGACCATTGATTTCGAATTTGTATTCTTGCATCCTTATAAGCCAATATGGACAAACCACAGTTACAAAAATCAACAATCCTAACAACATCACAAAAAGTAACAAATGCAGGGTATAAACAAAAGCCAAGGTTGCGATCATGAGACCAAAAGAAAACCAAAGGTGCAAACGGAAGGAATACTTCTTAATACAGTAAGTAACCAATGGAGCGAAAAGGAAAACTTGCAAGGAGAAAAGCATGATAGCAAAAACAAGAAGCCTTGAACGAAGGCATGAAGCAATGAAAACTGAGGCCACCACAGAAGCATTTAAAGAGATGCAACTTGTCAAGGTCGGATTGTGTAGAGCCCCAGGAGCTCTTACGGTGGATCCATAATAGTCATGGAGGAAGAGATGGAGCACAAGGAGTGACACGGTTACTGCCCAAATGGAGTTCGAGCTAATGGATGTTGTAAGTGTTTGATAGATGGGAGCTAAAACATACAAGCCACTGATGAAAAAGGAAATATTGAGTAAGTAACGGAAGAAAAGATTGAAGGAAAGCATTTCTTTAGTTAAAAGGAGAACCAGAAAACCCAATCCAAGAAGAGTGACATCAAGAAGCAAGAGTGAATTTTCATTAAGAATTGATCTGAGGGTGTAGGTCCAAACCAAGCCAACAAGAGCTACAATACACAGATATTGGGAGATGGAAACAGAATCCAGCATCACTTTCAGAATGTCCCTTTTGACAACATTGGCATTCATAACCATATCTTCAAGAAAAGAGTCATCTGTATGGTTGTCATCAAACCCAGGTTGCATCCCTCCATATGCCACTTTTCTCCATCTGGGTCGAGTGGGAGATAGGATATCATTCAAGAATGTATCCATCAAAATCCTATTGTTGAGCAAAAATGAAATCTTTACTCAGTTATATAAATCCCACCCTCATGTGGGTCTTCCATGATACTGCTATTAATTATCACAAGTATGCGTAACAACGGCAAAGAAGAACAAAATATGACAAGCCAGACAACAAGAGAAGAATAAGAGAAGACAACACAATCTGCAGACTTAAATTTTATTGTGTGAAAAGAAGTAACACCAAGGATTTCCATATAAAAAAGAAAATGTGGGTGTGGGTGTGCGTGTGGGTGTGAATAAGGAAAGGAAATACCTCAAAGAGAAAAGGACGGTCTTTTCGTTAAGGATCCCATCTCCACCGGAAAAATCTGAGAACTCACTCTCTAGGTTACCGCTGAGTTGGGTGTTCTGAGTTACGGAACAGAAACTAATGCACTGTATATTTGGCCTCTTTTCTTTCCTTTATTATAGCACGTTAAACACACACAAATTTCGAATCTACTCTCAAATTTAGCATAAAAACTTGTATAAAACGGTAATAGCACTGTTTTCATATTCCCAATTAATCACAGACTAGCATGTGGAAAAATTATCACATGTGGCATAACATAATTAGTTGAGGATAGCAAAATAGTGTTATTCCCGTTTTATGTAAGTGTTTCTCCTAATTAGGGGCTATAAATACTATAATTATCAACATTAAATTTTAGAAAGCTATTAGAGCACCTCCACCCCAAAAGGCAAGGGCAAGGCAAAGGCAAAACAAGATTTGACACTATTCACATGAATAGTGGCAGCCTTGCCTTTTTTGGTTCCACCCCAAATGGCAAGGGCAAACACTATTTACTTTACATTATTTTCTTCTTTTTTTTTATACTTAAACCATTAATTTTGATAAGCTTTTCGGATAAGATTTACGATTGCCACACGTCAATATTTATTATAAAATACTTACCTAAAAATTTAGATAACATTTTCGGATAAAATTTTCAAATTAAATTTTCAGGTAAATGAATAATATTGGTAGGTATTTATAGAAAAAATTTCTAGAATTTTTTTCAATTTTGTTAGCTAAAAATTGGACAGCCGTTGGATTGGGCAAGATTTTTTGATCGGAGGCTCTAGGAGAAGCCACGTGGCACAACAGTAAAAAAATATTGAAAATCAGCCGCAAATGTCAACAGCCCAGTCCATTTTTGCCTGTGGGCTTGCCCGGGCTAGTGGGTCCCATGCCTTGCCTGGGCTGCCTTTTGCATGCTAGAGGTCCAAATCTCTCTGGGGGGGGGCCTGTTGCCAGGGCAGAATGGCTTGCGCTGCACTTGCTCTTAGGAGGCCTTTCTCTCTATTGATATTTTTTCCAATTCCTTCCTAAAATTTGTGTTAGAGAGCCCATTATGATGCTCTTGTTGTTATGGTATTTATAAATTCATTGGTTTACCATTAATATGAAAAGAAATACAAGACTTTTTTTTTTGGGACGAAAAAAGAAATACAAGACTTTATTTATCAAAAGAGGAAAAAGTACAAACAAATAAAAGAGATAGCTTTTTATCTTCGTAAAAAGAAAAAAAAAAGATCGTTTTTAGTACAATGCCTTTTACTAAGCATATTTAATTAAGAATTTGGGGAAGTCATGAATGATGGAATTTAAACTGGAGAAGCCATGAATGGTGGAACTTAAATACTACAATCAAGGAATTGGAATTGGATCAACTACTTCCTATAATTGATCGCATTCCTAGTTTTGAGTGTATTTGATTATGGATTTTAACGTTGAGCGTACATAATTTTTTATTATTCATTATATGTTAGTAAACAAATGGAGAGCCAGGAATTGGAATCATTCCGCTATCAATGTGTGGGTAAACACGAGAGAAGCACGAATAGAATGATTCCAATACACATTAGTGATAAGTGAACACAATCCGATGCATAATAATAAACTTGATCCTATATTATAAATAAAATACTGTAAAGCAAAAGAAAAAAAATTTAGATAGAGACAGAAACTTTGGAGAGAAAATTCCCAAAGAGATGGGCCCTGTCGCCTTTTTTTGGATGCAAACAAACATGTTACATAACAAAGGGTTGGTTTCAGGCCTAAATCTCTCCATCCCATAATTCTTCCAGGGATTTGTATGGTGATGATGATCCATCAGCCGAAACCAGTTCTTCTCTCATCATCATTTTGTGCTGTGGGATTTGATTGATCTTGTCAAGGTCATCTTCTGATAGCTCCCAGTCAAACACCTGCAGATTCTGCTTTAACCTCTCCTTGTTGTAGCTCTTAACAGCAAGAGTTTCCTCAAGAGTTTCCTCTCTCACGAGAGAATGATCAATTGAACTCACCTCCTACGAGGCTGCTAACGTTTATTCATTGATGCATTGATTCATGGTTTTGAAATACATCAACCTGATCATTGATTCATGGCCATTATCAATTGTGCAACTCCAAAAGTGTTTAAAATCGATGCTCAAAGAATAAACATTGTGAAAAGGTTCATTGATTCATGGCCATTATCAATTGTGCAACTCCAAAAGTGTTTAAAATCGATGCTCAAAGAATAAACATTGTGAAAAGGTTCATTGATTCATGGCCATTATCAATTGTGCAACTCCAAAAGTGTTTAAAATCGATGCTCAAAGAATAAACATTGTGAAAAGGTTCATTGATTCATGGCCATTATCAATTGTGCAACTCCAAAAGTGTTTAAAATCGATGCTCAAAGAATAAACATTGTGAAAAGGTTCATTGATTCATGGCCATTATCAATTGTGCAACTCCAAAAGTGTTTAAAATCGATGCTCAAAGAATAAACATTGTGAAAAGGTTCATTGATTCATGGCCATTATCAATTGTGCAACTCCAAAAGTGTTTAAAATCGATGCTCAAAGAATAAACATTGTGAAAAGGTTCATTGATTCATGGCCATTATCAATTGTGCAACTCAAAAGCTTCCTTCACCAATCTTCTTTTTCCTTCTTGCTTGTAGAATTCTTCAAAAAACTCTGCATACTTATAGCTCCGGTACAATGGAGGGTGTTCCTCGTCAATCAAATCCTCAATTGGACCAATGACTGTGTACTTGTTGGGTCCATTGCTAATGACAACCTTGGCTCAACTTTGTTGGTCACTGCCCTGTGGTGCACGCTCTTATACCTTCCATTACTCAAAACCTAAATATCAGATACACAAATTCAAATCAAATTTCAATGAAAGTCATTTTTGGTCCCTGTAGTTTACTCCTCTATGTGAGGTGCACGTGGTAGTGACGTCGTGAAAGAAATTGATGGAAATTATGACTTGTCTTGAATTGCTACAATTATAAAACAACAAGAGCACAAATGACCAAATTGAAACAACATGGACGAAAGTGGAAATGAGAGTCACCTAGGAGTAATGTCGATCCATTTCTTTCAGACCATACAAGTAGAAGATGATAGACAAATAGATTGATAGTTCGCGAGAGAGGCAGAAATACAAAGTGTTGGAGAAAGAGGAAACATATATGCAGAGAAAGGAGGAGAGAACTGGAAAGTACTAGAGAAACCTGTGGGCTCCAACCGAGCGGCTGCACAGCTGCTGGTTTTCTTTTGATACGACGAAGGAAGGGGTTTAACTGTTGGTAACCAACTAGAGACGACATGACTTGTTGGATCTCGAACAGCCCAGACTGTAGAACCTTCTAATTTAGAACTATGTTTTTTAAATTACATTTTGAAGGCAATGACAGGAGAAGTTGTAATTAACGTCACCCAAATGAAAAGAGAACAAGGATTCATAAACAGAAATAAAATCCAAAACAAAAGAAAATTTAATTATATAAGGAAAAAGCTAGGATCCTTCCAACAGCCTATTGTTTTTCTTTGTTCAAGAAGACGTTTACAATACAGAAAACCAAGGACTAACTAACAATGCCCCTTGGCCTACAATCAAGACACAGGCCAAAGCCCGCTCCAACTCAAAGCTAGCAATACAATGGCTTCCCAACACTAAAAACAACAAATTAACTTTCTACGGTTATTTAAAAAAATTGTTCAGCTATCAAAATCTTTCAAAATTTGGTCACCATCAGCAAGTTTCTTCCTTGCGCAGCAAGCTTTTAGAAAAATCGATGGCCAACCTCACAAGAAGAAGAGCGTTGCAACCATCTCTTTTCCAGATCAAATAATGAAATAAGTACTGCTCTACTAATCAATTACAACTAAAAGGGAGATAAGCGGCTTGGATTTAACATACAATATGGTCTAATAGCAACCCCTTAAGTCCTAAGGATAGGAAAGACAGTTTGTAGTTAAAGTGATACATCAATGCTTTTCAAGCAAGAAAAGCAAGAAAACTATGCTGAACCAACTAAAGATGTAACTAGCCATTACCTCAACAAGTACCCTCGGCTTCTTCTTCGATTTGGCAGCAGGTTCATCTTTCTCAAATCTTCTAGAAGCAAAGGCAGATTCCTTTCTCTCTCTCTTGCGAGTAACTGCTTCTGCCTCTTCATCACTTCCAACTGTATCATTAAGATCCTTCATTGAGTCCATTTGACACGCACAAGCACACAAACTCTTCCCCATAATTTTATACAACAGTAGGAACAAAGCATTATAAACCTTTTTCTTTAGTCACAGCAGACTAGAAAATTAGAGTATGTTATGCAAATTTTGTGTGGACTATGCATGCATTCATTTCATATTCTGTTAAGACTAGAATTTAGCTTTACCATTATCATCATCTGCATGAGAATTGTCCATTGAAAAACCAGCAAAATCTTCAATATCATCTTCCTCTTCAAGTTCATCATAACCTTCAACATATTCTATCTCAGGTTCCTGCTTATTCCAACCACAAAAGTATTTAGATTATGAAAGTATACAATTTGAAGTAAGCATACCATGAAATTCTTCACATTTCAAAATACTAATAATTGAGATATTAGATCATCCAAAAAGAAGGAAATGATAAACTTGCAAAAGAATACCTCCTCCTCTTCTTCTTCTATCTCAGTATCCAACTGCATTTCTTCCCCTTCAAGAACTTTTTGGTATTTATCAAAGGGGTAATTATATATATCTTTATACGCATCACCATAAACTCCTTTCTTGAGACGTTCTAATAGTTCTCTCTCAATGCTCTGCAGAAGGACAGTAAATCTTTATGAGAGCTAGCGACAATAACAGATCAAGTCCAGTACATTTATAGTGTATGGCAGTTAAGTTAAAACCTTATCCAACACTGCAGCTTTTTCAGCCTTTTCCTCTCTTCTAGCCTCTCTCTTTTTCTCTTTCCTTGGTGTCGTCATTATTTTCTCCCTGGTAAACACAATAAATTGCATCAATACAAATTCTCAATACAACTTCTTCAATATCAACATTAAAAAGGTAAAGAAGTCAGTTCTCTGAAGTCACTTTTCGGACAGATTTTTATTATTTTAAAATACATAATTATTTGATGAAGTGGACATTTATCACATGGACACGAAGCATTACACAATGAGATGATACAGACCTTGTTTTCAAAGCAAGCTTCCTCATGCGTATCCTCATCTGGGTCATTTTAGTCAGCCGTTGCTTTGTTTTGTGCACAAGAAACTTAGGCCAGTACATCTGCCAATTCAGGAAGGTCATGCTGATTAATAACTTCAAGAACCTCTAACTTTATGAAAACTAATATAAATTTAATCAGAAACAGTTAAAAAGAGGGTTCAGATTTTCAATACCAGATGTTTGTCAATAATTTCAAGTGCTTTCTCATAATTCCTGGGTAACTTAACTCTTTCCCACAATTTGTTTGGCATATGAGCTCTTTCTATAGTTTTCATATAAAGATAGAAGACTCCTGCAGGACACAAACATAACATAGGAAAACATTATATGCATTGCTGCTAGTATAGAAACAAATTCATTGGTATCAGCATAAGTAGAAATTTTAAGTAAACTTACACTCTTAGAAAATCAACAAGACTATATAAGCTTTTCAGATATAAGTTTGAAAACAAATAGGTTTCAAAGGAGATTGGAGATTGTTTGATCTCTTATATTGTAGTTATAAGATGTCGTACATCAAGTGCTCTTAGTTTTGAAGAGGGAAAGTTGCGCGCAGCATTTTCTAGATGCTTCTTTTTGACATACAGTATATCGTGTTCAAAGATGGCATCTCCATGGATGAAAGGCAGAAGGTTTATGTATGTGAACAGAAGCAGCTAAGAGGCTTTTGTGTTAATCAAGGAGAAAGTTATATGGGTGCCTATTCATAACAGATTAAAAAAACTGGCCCTGAGCTAAAAGAATTATGAAGAATCTGCTAACATAATTGACTTTGGTTTAAATGCAGGCCTCTATCCTCATTTCTACTAAAGAGTACCTAAATTCCCTCAACCTCTGATCAAGTGTCAACTACATATTTAGCAAACCACTTTGTTAAAGCAGGAAATGACCTTAAAATACAGTCATTCTTCGCCATCTTCATAGCAGAGTAAAGAGAACCATTCACGAAGCAAAATGAGAAACAAGTACCATCATGGTCGCGAATGGTGGCATAGCGACTATTAGCCAGAGGGCACGAGCTTCGGTTACAAATCCCAGTGACATTATATGGGTTTCTACAGAATATCCCAGTTTCAATTCTGACAAAAACAAGGAAAAAAAACCAATTAACACTCAAAAATAGTCCAAAAAATCTGGTAAATTATAAAAATTTACAGACAAAAAGAGCATTAGAGAAAGAAAATGTCATACTTGGACATGAAGCTGCAGTGTTTGTGCCTGATAACCTGCCATATGACCTCGTCGTTCTGCATATTTAATCAAACACTTTCGATTTCGATTTTTGCTGAGCAGATGACCGCAACGGACCCAGTATATTATAAATAAATAAATAAATTTGAAAACTCCATACAAGTTGCAGAGGCAAAGAGTGAGAGAAAGAGAATAGGGTTCTGCTAAAAAATGACAGAGAAGAGGGAGAGAGAGAGAGGCCGAGACGGAGGAGGAGAGCGAGCGAGAGAGAGAGAGAGAGTACGCGAGAGAAAGAAGAAACGGCGCCTTTTTTTTTATGAAAAAAGAAGAGGCGCTTTGATGTGCTGGGGAAGAAGAAGAAGAAAATTAGGGATATGAAAAAACGCAGAACGCCTTAATAGTGAAACATTTGGAAACCCAAAAATACCCTTGCTTTATTAAAAACACCAAAACAAAAATATCAATATAAAAGGGGTAAAACTGTGAAAACATAATTAAAAGATTTTATGTTTGGATTGATTTGTTGCAGGAAAGTAATTGGATTTCACCGTTCTGGAAAAACATTGGTATTTTTCGTTTTGTTTTCTTCTTCCCATGTTTCTTTGTGTGCTTGATGATGTACGCTGAATATAATATGATGTATGAAATCCCAGTGAAAATGTTATCATTATTCTGGGTTGATCCTTCAAATGAGTCTATTTTTATTACATTTATTGGTCTGTATTCTGGGTTGATCCTTCTTTTTTTTGGATACCAACTTTTCATGTTGGTTATGAAGAAAATTTGTATACCAACTTATTTGCCAATTCATAATTTTTCACAGCTCAAGTGCAACTAGATCTATCTTTCGCGCTTTATATGCAATGAGATGCTAGAGGTGAAATGATATTAGCCACAGTTGGTAAGGACGAGAATGTAGGCTTCAAAATTTTGAGCATGAACAAAAACAGAGAAAGATAAGAGACTTAGAAGGATTAATAATTTTGAGAAAAATATTTCAGTTAATAACATAGAACATGAATTCAATTTTTGTAAAACTACAAAAAACAAACTTGAAATTATAACACAAATTTAGAGAATTGGAATTCTAATCCCTTTATCTGGCGTTGAAGCCATAGCAGAGCTCATTTCACGAGCTCCAGTCTCTCATCTTCATCTTCAACCTCAATTTTCAGTTTTTGTTCTTTCATTTCTTGTTTTGAAATCATCTTTCTCTTTGGACTTTTTGGATTGTGCAGATGTCTATGTCTCCTCTCCATTGCTGGCTCTGACACTTTTTCAAGGGACCAAGCCTCAGCTCGCTAAATTGGAGGAAAAAGGCTGCCAAGAAGGAATAAGCCATTAATTATATTAGGCATTTGAAGGGAACGTCATATGAGGAAGTTCAAAGAACTCATTTGCTAAGTGCAGCTTCAAACGATCATATGATTTTTTCTTCCAAGAGAAGCATAACAATCTTCTCTTTCGAGTACCGCTTTTGAGATCTTATGGCAATTAAGACATGCAGAGGTTGCTTTGCCAGTAGGGCTGGCACCTGCGATCACTACCTCCGCTTCCTCCATTTCCATGTTGGATTTCGTTTTTGAGGTTTTGATTTTATGTGTACAAACAATTACACGCTCAAGTATTTAAACCCAATAGTAAAACAAGGGCCACTTTAGCATAAAACTAATTATAGCATGCCTAATAAACCCATGTTATTATTTTGTAGGGCTAACGACAAAAGAAACCTTGCAAGATTTAGGTGGTTCTCAATATAACCTAACAAGCTAAAAGTGTCTTGTGAATCCCAAATAACATACCCCAACCAGCTAATACAAGACTGTGATTTCAAAATAACAACAAAGACAAGTGTGCATTTCGAAAGGACTAATGGCAAGACCATCATCATTCCTTGTTCAAGTCACCATAGGTCGTTTCCTCAATAAATAAGAATTTACAATTGAAGCTTAAGTTGATGCATGAGGGACAGATGTTGAGGATGGAGCAACTAAATCACTTGCTGGTGCATTTGAACTTCCCATTATTGTGGTATCTTTTCTCTTCCATTTTCCTTTTTGCACAACTCTAGCAAGCTTAGCTCGCCTTGTTCTTGTACTGGGACAAGCTTCACTTATTTAAGTAGTTTCCTGGGTTTAGGCAAAAAATAATATACAGATAGTTGCAAGATTTCATCTAAAAGTATAAAGTAACAAGTGTTCATCCTCAGATGTTTACCTTAGTCTTCCACTTTTTGATTTTTGTTTTGGGGTGCAGATTACTATGGCAAATCCTTTTATTTAATTGATGTTCTTATTATTCTCTTCAACACGTCTTCATCTTAACTACTCTTTAAATTATTTTATTTGACTATTGTTTTACTTCTCTACTCTCATATAAATAAAATCAGTGTGTTTTAATATTTTACTTCACCAAGGGTATTTTCGGGTTTATTGAAAATTTCACTTTTAGGGCTTCTGCCTTTATATATATTACCATGAGCCGCAACATTACTAAACCTTCGGGTGAGGCTGTGCACCTCATGATTTTAGAGTTTATACTATTTCAAATATGGAAGCCTTAGCCTCTGTCAGGAAAAAGGCCGCCAAGAAGGAAAAAGCCATTAATTATATGAGGCATTTGAAGGGAACATTTTATGAGGAAGTTCAAAGAAATCCTTTGCTAAGTGAAGCTTCAAATGATTGTATGACTTTTTCTTCCAAATAGAAGCATAGCAATCTTCTCTTTCGAGTATCGCATTCGAGATCTTATGGCAATTAAGACATGCAGAGGTTGCTACGCCGGCAGGGTGGCACCTACGATCACTACCTCCACTTCCTCCATTTCCATGTTGGATTTCGTTTTTGAGGTTTTGATTTTCTTAACTACTCCTTTTACTTTTTTTAATTATTTTATTTGACTATTGTTTTATTTCTCTACCCTCGTATAAATAAAATCAGTGTGTTTTAATATTTTACTTCACCAAGGGTATTTTTGGGGTTATTGAAAATTTCACTTTTAGGGTTTTGCCTTTATATATATATATATATATATATTATCATGAGTTGCAACATCACTAAACCATCGGGTGAGGCTTTTCACCTTCTGGTTTTAGGGTTTATACTATATCAAATATGGAAGCCTCAGACTCCGTCGGGAAAAAGGTCGCCAAGAAGGAAGAAGCCACTAATTATATGAGGCATTTGAAGGGAACGTTATATGAGAAAGTTCAAAGAACTCATTTGCGAAGTGAAACTTTAAACGATCATATGATTTTTTCTTCGAAAGAAAAGCATAGCAATCTTCTCTTTCGAGTACCGCATTCGAGATTTTATGGAAATTAAGATATGCAAAGGTTGCTATGCCGGCAGGGCCGCCACCTACGATCACTACCTCTGCTTCGTCCATTTCCATGTTGGATTTCATTTTTGAGATTTTGATTTTCTTAACTACTCCATTTACTTTTTTTTACTTATTTTATTTGACTATTGTTTTACTTCTTTACCCTCATATAAATAAAATCAGCGTGTTTTAATATTTTACTTCACCAAGGGTATTTTCGGGGTTATTGAAAATTTCACTTTTAGGGCTTCTGCCTTTATATATATATTACCATGAGCTGCAACATCACTAAACATTCGGGTGAGGCTTTGCACCTCTTGATTTTAGGGTTTATACTATTTCAAATATGGAAGCCTCAGCCTCCGTCGGGAAAAAGGCCGCCAAGAAGGAAGAAGCCATTAATTATATGAGGCATTTGAAGGGAACGTTTTATGAGGAAGTTCAAAGAAATCCTTTGCTAAGTGAAGCTTCAAACGATTATATGACTTTTTCTTCCAAACAGAAGCATGGCAATCTTCTCTTTCGAGTATCGCATTCGAGATCTTATGGCAATTAAGACATGCAGAGGTTGCTACGCCGGCAGGGTGGCACCTACGATCACTACCTCCACTTCCTCTATTTCCATGTTGGATTTCATTTTTGAGGTTTTGATTTTCTTAACTACTCCTTTTACTTTTTTTAATTATTTTATTTGACTATTGTTTTATTTCTCTACCCTCGTATAAATAAAATCAGTGTGTTTTAATATTTTACTTCACCAAGGGTATTTTCGGGGTTATTGAAAATTTCACTTTTAGGGCTTCTGCAGCCTCAGACTCTATTGGGAAAAAGGCCGCCAAGAAGGAAGAAGCCATTAATTATATGAGGCATTTGAAGGGAATGTTATATGAGGAAGTTCAAAGAACTCCTTTGCGAAGTGAAACTTCAAATGATCATATGACTTTTTCTTCGAAAGAGAAGCATAGCAATCTTCTCTTTCGAGTACCGCATTCGAGATTTTATGGAAATTAAGATATGCAAAGGTTGCTATGCCGGCAGGGCCGCCACCTAAGATCACTACCTCCGCTTCGTCCATTTCCATGTTGGATTTCATTTTTGAGATTTTGGTTTTCTTAATTACTCCATCTACTTTTTTTACTTATTTTATTTGACTATTGTTTTACTTCTTTACCCTCATATAAATAAAATTAGCATGTTTTAATATTTTACTTCACCAAGGGTATTTTCGGGGTTATTGAAAATTTCACTTTTAGGGCTTCTGCCTTTATATTTATTACCATGAGCTGCAACATCACTAAACATTCGGGTGAGGCTTTGCACCTCCTGATTTTAGAGTTTATACTATTTCAAATATGGAAGCCTCAGCCTCCGTTGGGAAAAAGGCCCCCAAGAATGAAGAAACCATTAATTATATGAGGCATTTGAAGGGAACGTTATATGAGGAAGTTCAAAGAAATCCTTTGCTAAGTGAAGCTTCAAACGATTATATGACTTTTTCTTTCAAACAGAAGCATATCAATCTTCTCTTTTGAGTACCGCATTCGAGATCTTTTCGCAATTAAGACAGGCAGAGGTTGCTACGCCGGTAGGGCTAGCACCTACGATCACTACCTCCGCTTCCTCTATTTCCATGTTGGATTTCATCTTTGAGGTTTTGATTTTCTTAACTACTTCTTTTACTTTTATAATTATTTTATTTGACTATTGTTTTACTTCTCTACTCTCATATAAATAAAATCAATGTCTTTTAATATTTTACTTCACCAAGGGTATTTTTAGGGTTATTGAAAATTTCACTTTTAGGACTTCTGCCTTTATATATATATAGACTACCAGGAGCCGCAACATCGCTAAACCTTCGGGTGATGCTTTGCACCTCCTAATTTTAGGGTTTATACTATTTCAAATATGAAAGCCTCAGCCTCTGTCGGGAAAAAGGATGCCAAGAAGGAAAAAGCTGTTAATTATATGAGGCATTTGAAGGGAACGTTATA